GGGGTTTGGGGAGGTGCGGGGGGGTTGTGTATCAATGAGGGAGTTTTTCTTTTGCTTTTCAAGGAGAGGAGCAAACGGGTGGGGGGGCTGTTGCGGGGAGAAGGGTGCAACAATGAATCTCTGTAGATGTTCATTGAAACGAAAAATAAACAAACTAAATTAATAAAATAAAAAAGGGGGGGAAAGCCATCTCATCACATAGTGGAAACACTGCATTCAAAAGCCTGTATTCAGTTTCTGTAATTGTCAAATTCAAGTGTACCATATGTACTATGTTTAGAGCTAAATTTTTGCCTTGCAGCTCTCTCCAGGACAAAAAAAAATGTGCTGGCAGACTAGTGTTTAAGCAGTTGCACTGTCAACCCTAAGACAGGCAGTTCAAATCTACTCACTGCTCTGAGGGAAGAATATGGGTAATCTCCTCCCATGCAAGTGACAGACTTTAACAATCCGCTGGCGAGGAGTCATACAAAAGGTGATGACAAGTCTAATAAAGCTGTAGCATAAGTGCATTACATGAGACAGGGTTCCTAAAAGTGGAGGGGAATGCAGTTGTGTGATAAAAGCCTTCTTCTGGTGCCGTTTTAGAAATAGTTATCAAATTCCTCACTCCAGCCCCAAACAGCACTTAAATGATCCAAATTAGAAGCTGAGTGGGCTCTGCCTGCTGACTGGGATAAGAGTGAACACAGTGAGAGGTGTGGGGATTCTGCTCTGGGAGGTTCAGTGAATGAGTCCCACCCTTAAAAAGAGGAAAGAAAAATCAAGGAAACTATTTCTATATATCCAGGTACCTACTCTCTATTCATTCTTCCACAAATAGCCCTAAGTAATGTTTGTAATTTACAGAGAACACAAGTGAAAATGAGTGTGTCTTCTCTTGAGTGAGTATGTTTCACACTCTTGATCAGTATGTCCAATTCAACTAAGAACTTTCAAAACATATAGAAAAACCAGGCTTTCCTCCACTTAAGACCTCTCCAAAGTACTGAAGAGCAATGGTGCCACTCTGGAGACTAAGGTGTGTCTGATACAGGCCATGGTCTTTGCAATCACTTGTTATGCATCAGAGAGTTGGACAATGACTAGGGAGGATAGAAAGAGAATTGATGCCTTTGAGCTGTGGTGCTGGAGAAGAGTACTGAATGTCCCATGGACTTCCAAGAAAACAAACAGATTCATCCTGGAGAGGGTTAAACTGGGCAGCTCTTTGGAGGCAAGGATTCTGGGGCTTCATCTGACATACTTTGGACATGTTGTAAGGGGGGACCGGTCCTTGGAGAGGGACATCATGCTTGGGAGGGTGGAAGGACAGTGCAGGACGGGAAGACCCTCTATGAGGTGGATTGATTCAGTGACTGGGATAAACGGGATGGGTGTGTCGGAGTCAGTGTGATTGGCACAGGATAGAGCAGGGTTTAGGTCTGTTGTCCTAGGGTCGCTATGAGTCGCAAGTGACTCGACAGCACATAACAACAACAACAACAAGACTTAGACACTAATCCTCTCTGCACTATTACTATTTGTAGAAGACAGTAACCTTGGGCCAATCCAAAGGCATGCAGTTATACACCAGATTTTGAGAGCTGTGAGCAAGCGTTGTGTAGTTAAATAACAATTAATGAAATTCTCAAACCTATGAGCTACCCCATAAATTTCAAGGAGAGCTTTGAACTGGTTCTTCCCAGGGAATGGCTGAGGAAGGGACATACAAATAGGCCCAAATACGTGAAATGTAGGAGTATCGGCATGATAAGCTGAATGGAAAAAATAATGGGTAGACAGACACCTTACTAGAAATGTAATCTCCTTTTTAAGAATAAAATGGCCATGTGCATTGCCTAACAACATAATCCCTTGACTACACAGAGGCAGAAACAGTAAAATGAAGCTGAAAAATGGCAGATAGTGCCATTTTGAATGTGTGTCACTCTCCACAGAGCTGCCAATAACCCACTTTCCTGAGTCAGTCTCCTGAGGATAACCTATGCTTAGTGAGTCTCCCACAACAGGATTGTGACCAGCAATTCTTTCCATTCCGATTTTTGTTCTTACAAACTTAAGTCTGCTCCAATATCACTGTGTCAGCTGTGACTGAATTAGTTTGAAGTCATGATCTCAAGTTGATGATTTTACAAGGCAGATTCTGCTAAACTTGAGCATGGATCCCAGGATTACAAACCCCAAACCCAAATAGGTAAGACTCACCATAGGATTTTTAAAAAACTCATATTTTGCATAATTCTTCCTGAATAAAAATTTACTTTCACTTGCCATGGTGCTTTCCACCTGGGCCACCAGCTCATGATCTTCCAGACACCGTTCTGCAAAGGAAAAGCATCATGTGTGAGAGGGAGAGTGCATCAGGGTGGCCTGATAAGAACTGTCACATGTGGGCTAAGCTCCTGCTTGCCTTAAAACACAGTCAACTGAGGTGAGCTCAATAAAGAGCTTAATGGAAATCCCTCTTTAATACACTACGAAATGCATGTTATTGCTGTTGTTGTCATTCTCACCCTCTGAACAGCAGCTTTGAACTCTGCCCTATCTTGAGTCAACTTTACTATCACACTTGAATCCATTTGCCACACTTACTGTGTCAATCATTCTCATTTAGGGGCTTCCTCTATTGCACTGACCCTCTATCCTTCTAAGCATGAAGTCATATAAGGTCTTAAAATACATAGTAGGAGGAACATAGACATTCTCTACTTTTATATGCATTATTGAAATTTCACATCAACAAAAATGTAAGAGAAATTAATAAAGACTTTCCTCAAATGATGCCATCTTGCCACCCTTGATTAAGAATCTCAGCTCCTGTAAGACACTAGTAAATGGGAAAGTGCATACACACAATGAGAAGCAGAAGTTACATTGAGGTTTGAGTGGGTGAAAGGAGGGGGCTGCAGAGACAGACAGATGTCATGCTTCTGAGTCCCTGAGACCAGACTGGCTGATCTGGTGTTGGAATATAATATGACAGGGTGTATTTGCACAACACATCCAAAGGTAAAAACTCAGGTGCTGTCAGATCAACTCTAATTCACCGCAGCTCACACGTATCAAATTAAACTGTGCTCCACAGGTTAATCATTGGCTAGTTTTGTGGAAGTGACTGCTTTTCTTCTGCAGTATCTAAGGGCCTGATTCCCTGACCTTTTGGTTGGTAGGCACTGCCACTCAAGGATGCCATCTCTAAACATTACTGTTATTATGTACTATCTAGTTGCTTGTAACTAATAGTGACCCTGTATATATAATAGCTCTGAACCCTGTCCTATTCTGAGCCAGTTTCACCATCTCTGACACACTTAACACCATTATCCCAGCCACTGTGTCAATCTATTTCATCCAGGGTCTTCCTCTTTTGTGCTGTCCCTCCTACTTTCCAAACATGATGTCCTTCTGCAAGGACTTGTCCCTCCTGGCAATATGCCCAAAGTATGTGAGACAGAGCTTCAAAATCTTTGCCTCTAACTTGGGAGGGGCTGGAGAGCATTATGTTGAGTGAACTCAGTCCCACAAGGGTAAATATTTTATAAAACCATTATTGTAGAATGAGTATAAGGGTCCAATAAAGGTGGGAGACGTTGGAAGCATAGAAATAAGGATGTGCATGGGGTTGTACAATTTGCTGGGTGGTGGAATGAGGGAAATGGAAAGAATTTGTTCTTGAAAACAATGTATTCTAATTTGTAAATAAACTAGTAGGGGAAAAAAAAAGCTTTGCCCCTAAGGAGCAACTTGGTTTCACCCTCTCTAGGACAGACTTGTTTGTTCTTTTGGCAGTCCATGCAACACATTTCTCTAGCACCACAACTCAACTTTCTGTCATCTTTGGTCACTGTCCAGTTCTTGGATACATAGCAAGTAATTGCAAAGACTGGATCAGGCATATTTTAGTTTCCAGATTGAAATTGTTGGTCTTTAGCACTCTGGAGAGGTCCCTTACAGCAGATTTTCTCAATGTAATTAATCTTTTGATTTTCTGACTGCTGGTGCCAAGACTATAGACTGTTGACTGTGGAACCAAGCGAGCTGAAATTGTTAACAAACTCAATCTTTTCTCCATGTATCATGGTGCTGCCATTTGGCTCACTGGTGAGTTTTGTCATCTTGGTATTGAATTTTAAAACATATTGAAGACTGCACTCCTTGCCCTTCAGCAGCAAATGCTTCAAGCCCTCTGCATTTCCCACAAGCACGGTTGAGTCATCTGCATAAGGCATGTTGTTGATGAGTCTTCTGCCAATCCTGATACCACATTCTTCCTCATAAATACAGCCTCTCAACTGATCTTTTTCCACACATAGATTGAAAATGTGTGGAAAATTTTGGTATATAGCTTTTAAACTGTTCTCTCCCTCATCTGTTTCAATGCAGTATACATAATTTATCCAATCTTTCTCAGTCTTACCCCAACCCTGATGTCAGTTCCGTTCTACAACAGTGGCACTATGAAGTATTTGTCACACAGCATAATGTCATCCAGGGTCACCAATTTTGAATAATATTTCATGAGTTCCTTGTTTTTCAATGCAGCGTGGTATTCCGATGTGTAAATAGACCAGAGCTTCTCTATCCATTCGTTTGTTGATGGGCACTTAGGCTGTTTCCAACTCTTTGCTACTGTGAACAAAGACACAATAAACATGGGTGTGCATATATCTGCTTGGGTGGCAGTTATGGTTTCTGTGGGGTATATTCCCAGCAGAGGAATTGATGGGTCAAATGGTATCTCTATTTGCAAATTGTTGAGAAAGTGCTGTACAGCCTTCCATAGAGGTTGCACCATTTTACACTCCCACCAACAGTGAATAAGGGTTCCAGTTTCTCCACAACCTCGCCAGCATTTGTTGTTTGCTGTTCTGTTAAATTTTGCTATTGTGACTGGGGTGAGATGGTATCTCATAGTTGTTTTGATTTGCATCTCTCTTAGAGCTAGGGATTTTGAACATTCCTTCATGTGTTTGTTCGCCATCTGAATGTCTTCTTTTGTGCAGTGTCTGTTCATATCCTGTGCCCATTTTTCAATTGGGTTATTCACCTTTATCTTGCTGTGGTGCTCAAGTATTTTATAAATTCTAGATGTAAGTCCCTTATCAGACATGTCATTACCAAATATTTTTTCCTAGTCTGTGGATTCCCTTTTTATTCTGTTGAAGAAATTTTTAGATTTGATTCTTAGAAGGTCCCATTCATCTATTTCATCCTCTCCTGGTTGTAGATTTTTCAGGTTGCTTGGAAGACTGCTTATGTTGTGGATTAGGACTTCTAGAGTTCTTCCAAGCTTTTCTTTAATGAAATGTTCTTAGTTTTAGTCCTAGGTCCATGATCCATTTTGAGTTGATTTTTTTGTATGGAGTTGAGGTGTGGTTCTTGCTTGAGTTTTCTACAGGTAGTTTTCCAATTTTCCCAGCACCATTTGTTAAAAAGGTTGTCACTTCCCCACTTAACTGATTTCGTCTCTTTGTCACAAATCAATTGACCTTAGATAGATGGACTGATTTCTGGATTTTCTATTCTATTCCACTGATCTATATCTCTGTAATTATACCAGTACCACTCTATCTTGACCACCACGGCAGTGTAGTAAGTTTTGAAATCAGGGAGTGAGATGCCTCCTACCTTATTTCTCTTTTTAAGGCGTGCTTTGCTTATTCAGGGCCTCTTTCCATTTCAAATGAAATTAGAGATTGCCTTTTCCATCTCATTGAAGAGTGGAATTGGTATTTGTATTGGGATTGCATTGAATGTGTAAATATTGTCGTTTTCACGATAGTGAGTCTTCCTATCCATGAACAAGGGATATTCTTCCACTTCTCTAGTCCCTGGAGAGGGACATCATGCTTGGGAGGGTGTAGGGATAGTGAGGAGAGGAAGACCCTTGATGAGATGGATTGTTTCAGTGACTGGGGTAATGCGTGTAGGTATGTCAGAGACAATAAGACTGAAACAGGATAGAGCAGGGTTTAGGGCTGTTGTACATAGGGTCACTAAGAGTCACAGGTGACGTGACAGCACATAACAATAAAAACAAGTCTTTACGTTTTTTATTGTAACACTTTGCTTTGTCTTCTGGAACTCCCTTTTGAACCCTTCTGTTTAGCTTTTTAACTTCCTGATTTCTTCCCCTTGCTTTGGTCTTCACTGACCTTGTACTAGGGTGGTTTTCATGGACTAGATTATATCACCAAGGCAGGAAAGAAAACAGTGTTTACCGAGTTCACATACATGTTCTCTCTCTCTCCTATACCTCTTCTTTCCCTCTCGCTATTCAGAACAACTAAGGTCAGTGTTGCCCTACAGAGCCTTCTTCCTTCAGTCTGGACACTGGCTCCATGCAAAGAACAAAGAACCAGCAAGCACTGCATCAGTGCCACATTTTTGCATCTAGACCTATAAAAACCCCAGATCCATTGCTATGAAATAAGAAATGACTCAAAGTGGACTCTTCAGCAGGTTTTGGGAGGCTGTAAACCACACAGAAAGAGATCATTCATATTCCTCCCATGGAACAGCAGGTGACTCTGAACCACCACCATTGGCTTAAATCTCAGCAAGTCTGAAGAGGTGAAGTACAAAGTGTTACCCAGGTCCATGACACTACAAAATAATTGCTTGAGTTTCCTAACCAATACAAACAGTAACCTTTGAAATGTATGTGAAAATAGCTATTAAGAGTGGAGATAAATCACAAGATTAAATATTTGGGAGTAAATATAACTAGAAGCACAAAAGATCTAGTCAAAGAAAACTACAAAACATTATTACAAGAAACAAAAAGAGACTTGGAGAAGTGAAAGAATATCCCTTGCTCATGGATAGGAAGGCTCAATGTCATGAAAATGGCAATACTACCAAAGGCAATATACATGTTCAATGCAATCACAATACAAATACCAATTCCATTCTTCAATGAGATGGAAAAGGCAATCTCCAGCTTCATTTGGAATGGAAAGAAGCCACGAATAAGCAAAGCACTCCTTAAAAATAGAAAAAAGGTAAGAGGCATCTCACTCCCTGATTTAAAATCCTACTACACTGCCGTGGTAGTCAAGACAGCATGGTACTGGTACAATGACAGACACAT